TGGAGAACGTGGACAAAGCCCTGCAGTTCCTCAAAGAGCAGCGAGTCCACCTGGAGAACGTCGGCTCTCACGACATCGTGGATGGAAACCACCGGCTCACGCTGGGCCTCATCTGGACCATCATCCTCCGCTTCCAGGTGAGCGTCAATCCCTGTGACTGAGCGTGGTCGCTCTTCGGTGTCTGATATCCTCCTGCGGGAAGCTTGAATCTGATCTCGTCCAGAGTGCGCCGAGGCGTTGGCACGAGTCGCCTCCCGCTCGCCGTAGGTTGCTGCAATCAGCAGCGGCGGCGTTTCGGTTCGGGGGGAGAAGCTGTCACAGCTGCCGCGTCATCAGCGCGCGACGGCCGGATGAAGCCTGAATGTCACCCGGCGGCCCGGAGGCGGCGTCGCCTTCCAGTCTGCTCCTCAGCAAGGACTCTCACGCACCCACGCAGTCCCGCACACGTGCACGCTCTCCCTCACTCTCGTGCACGCTCTCCCTCCCTCTCGTGCACGGGCCTCGGCGGCAGTGATACGGGATCACTTCCCTCCATGTAAGTACAGCAGCAGCCCTCGGCTTCTCTCCGTCACGCTCCAGCGAAGGCTTGCTTAGCATCGTTCACAGCCTCCACCGCCGTCGCCCGCCGGCTTCCTCCCGGGACGCAGGATTGTCACGCGACGCCCAGCCGCCTGCCACGGAGCACGTTTAGCAGCTAACAGAAATATTAAACCGTAGTCAGCGAGAGTCTGTGCAGCGAGACGACGAGCAGGAATGAATGAAATGATGGGTTTATAGTTATTTAATCATTAAATTACATCTTCACTGACTTCAGGGTTTCATCTTAATCATCTCTAAACTGTATTTTTAAATTCTTATTTTTGTATTTACTGTTTACAGAATTTTCCATTTTGTGTTAAATTACAGATGATCAATAGTAAAATTACCCAAAAAATAAAAAGGATTTGTTTACATGTTCGATATTGACTAGGGGCAAAAAAAAAAAGCAAATTTATGTATTTTTATTAGTTTTTAACTCCAATTATTTTGAACAACTTACTGTTGTTGTTACAGGCAACAACAAAAACATCAAAAATCTGTATTTATACAAATAGTCGTTTGTTTGTTTACAACATTTAACCATAATTTTTTTTTCTTCTTTTTTAATTTTAATTTTTTTGTTTTTACTGTAGTTACATGGATTTGCTGTTGAAATTAAGCTTCTTTTTTTAAACCAATTTCTTTTTATTTTTGAAGATTTTTCCTCTTTTCTACATTTACAAAAATGTATTGATTTACATATTAACCCCCAAATCAGGCCAGAACTGTGAATAACGTCCACGTTAAAAATGAATATTTTCCACAATATATTTTACACAATTTTACTGCATTTAAATCAGCAAAACATCTGATTATTTTACAATTATTTCTCATGTTTGTAGTCATTTAAAAGAAATGTTAAGGATTCAAAAATGGTCGCTCACTTTTCAACCTGTTTTATTTTATTTTATAGATAATATTTGCGTAAAATCAAAGAAAAAAGTATGAATTCATATAAAATAGGACAAAACTGTCGATAATGTCCATATTTAAAATCAGTATTTTTACAGACAGGAATTTATTATTTTACAAAATCGCTGTTTACGTTGTTTTTTATTCAGTTTACTCGGTGGAAAAACACGTTTCTCCAAATGAAGCTCTGTAAAACGGTTTAATAGCTGCAGGTGATCGATGGTTTGTTCACTGCTGCTGCTTTAGTTTTACGTCTTTTCCGGCGTCGTGCGTCTGTAACTGGACAGCGTAGCGTTAGCTCGCCGCTACATCTGCACCGTCAGCTGTGATCCGGCCTCGTCCTGCCCCGATGCTCTCAGGAGCCGCCGGTCGATGGCCTCTTTAATTTTGCATGTTGCTGAGGAGCAGAGTGGTGCAGGAGGCGTCCGTCAAACAGAGACGGAGAGGAGGGAGGACGTCTGGCAGAGAGATGGACGGATGGTCGACTGACGGGAAGCAACAAGCAGCAGGTTGTGGTGAATAAGGAGAGGACGCTGCCAAACTGTGACCTTCGTTCAAGCGCTCAGCGTCGATGTTTGCTCGATAAAGTTTCAGATTAATAACAGATGTTACAATCAGGTAGAAATCAACATCAGTGTCTTTGGTTTGCAAAAGAAAAAATAAATGAAAAAAAAATGGTGAAAATCTGGAAAAAAACTGTCAAATACTGAAACGAAACTGTAAAAACAGAGAAAACAGCAGAAGATATTTACAAAATATTTCGATTTAAGACAACATCAGTGAAATATTAGAAATAACTTCCATAAAAGAATTATGTTACACACTCACACACCATAAAAGAACAAATCAGTGTTTGTAAAAAATACTGAAAACTTATGACGTGGACGTTATTGACTTAATTTACCTTTTNGTTCAGCAGCAGCTGCAGGCCTTCACCACCTACTGCACCATAGAGAAGCCCATCAAGTAGGGAGCTTTCCAATGCCATGTCATGTGTTACAGAACGTACACAAACGTTGGTGTGACTGTGTTTGACTGCAGCTTCTTCATCATGAGAATGAGCCGGTTTCCTCTGTTTTATAGGCTAAACAGCTGAATTATCCAGTGAACAGGTCAGCAGTGTGTTGAACTCCGACCACCTTCTGTCACTGTGGGTTCAGTTTTCTCTGCAGTTTAAAATCCTGCACCTCCGTGGAAACAGCACAGGCATGAAGCATAAATCACTAACATTACAGAACAATAGTAGGGGAGGGACTTTAACGCGTTAATTACAGCAAAAATAACTCATTAGAAAAATTCATCGCTATCCAGGACTGCTAGCGCTAACACGCCTTCAGGTGGTACCGTCAGCTCCATGTGCGTCGGTGGGATGCACATTCTTATTTGCACAAAACCATGCTCTCATCAAGGCTTCCATCAGGCAGTTTGTATGAAACTTACCCTCCATCAGTCCAAGCGATGCGCTCTCATCGGATTCCTCCATGTTTGTTGTCGTTAGCGTAGCATAGCATCTTGTGCATCAGTGCGATCGGTGGACCATGAAATCGGCCGCTGTCAAACGATCCGTGGTGTCTGGATGCAAACTGCGATTAAACGCCTTGTTTTTGTTGTAGTTAAGTAAGGATTAAATAACGAGGAGCCGTGCATTGTACGGTTTAAAACACCACGACGCGAAGCAAACACAAAGAATATTTATTTAATTAATAGAACTTGCTATAAATGCCTACATTTTAAGGACTATTTTATGCAAATAATACACACCAGTTAGCCGTAGAATTCTCGCTGACCGTGGTATAATTAATCATAATTAACGCTTTAAAGTATATTAGGGGTGGGACTTCAATTAACGCGTAAATACCTAAACACCCCAGCTGAGTCACTAATGGCTTCCCAGTTGCCCAAAGGAGCACAGAATTTTTATTTATTTATTTTAATTTGTTTTANCTGGTTATTAGAAAGTCCAGTAAATTGTTCCAAACTTTATTTTTCACTGAGCTGCAGTCGTTCCTGCCGTCGGTCGTCTCTCTTCACCGGCTGCCGTTTGTAAACCTCCAGGGACCTGCTGCTGCTGCTGCTTTATTATCTTCATGTGTGTTTATTATCCAAACAGGAACTTCACAAAGGAAGTCTGAATCAGGCAAAAACACTCATAAACATTAAATTATAAATGGAGAAAAAACTGTTCATATAGTCGGGTTACATTTAGATTTTTTGGAGTTTTGCACCAAACAGATTCTGATTCCAAACCGATGGAGGACGGAGATTTCTGCTCTCCGAGTCGTTTTTGCTGCTTCCTCTGTGGTGAACGTGAGAGTTCGCTTTGCCCAGTCAGCAGGTAGCGACGGACCACTGCAGCAGCTGAGCTCGGGCCGAGAGAGGCAGAAACAAAGAGAGAGAGAGAGGAAGTGGAGGAGGAGGAGGAGGAGGAGGAGGAGGTGAAGCTCATGTACTCACAGAACACAAAGAACAACACACTGGGGTCAATGAACAGCTTCAGCAGATTCTCCTCATGTTCTATGCGTTCACTGTTTCTGTTCTTTAATTCAAATTCAGTTCAAGTCAGGTTTGTTGTCATGTTGCTGTAAACACACAGTGGTGACAACATAAAGTCAGAAAACAACCAAAATGTTGATGCAAAACGACCACAAAATGACAGAAGAACCAAAATGTGAAACCAAATGATGACAATAAGTCACGAGCAACAAAAACATGAAGCAAAATGACCAAAAAAAGACATAAAACAACAAAAATATGAAACAAATTGACGACAAAAAGACACAAAACAACCTAAATCTGACACGAAACAAACAAAAAGATGTAAAACCAACATGTGACATGACGACAACAAGTCATAAAACAGTAAAATAGTTTAATCTGTAGCTGCTTTGGGCCATTTTTATTTGTATTTTATTTTTTTTACAATCAACATGTACGTTATTATTTTTTCTGTGATTTTATGTGTAATTTAGCAAAATGAATTTAAATCAAAAATGCCTTTTACATGTTGTGGCCTCGTGATAAATATTTTCAGATCATTCCAGCTTTTTTTTTTTTAACGTCTAAACTCTAAAATAAGTTTTGGTTTCAAAGAGGCTCAAAGCAAAGACACAGATTATCTCAAACCCAAACCGCACATCCAATCCCCGCTGCACATTCGTCCTCCGTCCGTTGCGTTTGTGTGTTTGTGTGTCTGCGTACGTGTGCGACCGCGGTGCGTTTGCAGCTGATTCCAGGGTGTCGCGTCCCCAATTACCTCCGATCATGTCACCGCCGTGTGATTGGTCCAGCGGCTGTCGCTGTCGCCCATCATCAGCCGTTCTCAGGAGGCTCGCAGCGACTTCTGTTTTCACACTCGAGTCCTCCGCTCATATTGCTCCTGTCGCCTTTTGCTTCCCTTCTTTTTTGTTTTGGTTTTTTTTCTTGCTTCGTCGGTCCGTTTGAGGAAATCCGACCTTTGCTCCGGTTGTTTCTGGGAAGATGCAGACTCTCATTCTACAGCCTCGAGTTTTGCTCAGCGGCACGTCAGCAGGTGCAGCCTTCACTTAGCTTCAGGTGTCTTAAGAGCAGACAAACTGTTGCTGTGTTTGGTGTTCCCCTCCAGATCCAGGTGATCAAAATAGAGACAGAGGACAACCGAGAAACCCGTTCGGCCAAGGATGCTCTGCTGCTCTGGTGCCAGATGAAGACTGCAGGGTGAGCGGTGGAAACACAAAGAAAGACAGAAGCTGCAGCTGTCAGTTTTGTGATCATTTAAGCAGTTTCTTTGGTGTAAAGTTGTGAACCGCATTTCTCTGCAGGTACCCGGAGGTCAACATCCAGAACTTCACCACCTGCTGGAGAGACGGCCTCGCCTTCAACGCCCTCATACACAGACACAGGTGGGACGGCACGCCAACGCGTTTGGATCAGGACATCTCCAGTGTTTTTGTTCTGGTTTAACTCACACGACTGACCGGGTTTTCTCACGTCGCTCCCTGCAGACCCGACCTGATAGAGTTCCACAAGCTGACGCGGTCCAATGCAACCCACAACCTCCAGCAAGCCTTCAACATCGCCGAGCAGCACCTGGGCCTCACCAAGCTGCTGGACCCGGAGGGTGAGAGGGTTCCACA